CCGAATCTTCACTTCTTCATTTAACCTCATCATACTAAATAAATGATATATCTCTACAACAACAACTAATCCTCGGTCCCAAACAAGTTGGGGTCGACTCTATGAATTCTCACTTCTTTATTTAAACTAAATGAAGTATATATCTGCTAAGACAGCACTAAGCTTCAGTTCCAAACAAGTAATCGGGGTCGGCCCATTTCTTAATTTAAGCTCATTTGATATCATCAACATACTAAAAACATACAAAATGACAAAAAGAGAGTTACCTCCTACAGCAATACTGTAACATGCAACAGCACAAGTCTGAATAATAGTATTCTCCTGTTTAGTAAACGGAGTACATGTAAAATTCGCCTTTTTTAGAACCTTAGTCCATGACTGTAGAATCACATAAGCAAGCAGAGCAGCTGAAACATTGAGATTTGGTACAAGTCCAGTAGTGAGATTAAGCTTCGTTACAATCACACTATAAATAACTCCAATCAAAACACTCGCAACAATTCCTCGTACTGTAATCTGTTTAGTCCACGGAGGAATTCTCTTCACTTCATCATCACCATCTCTCATTTCTTCCGTTACTTCTCTTTCAATCTCCATTAATTCTACCCCAACTCTACTCATTTCTCCCTGTAAATTTTTTCAATTCAATCACAACAAAATCCAAAAACACACAAAACAAAACATGATGGGTTTTAATCGACGTAAAAGGGTACCTAAAAATCCCTTTCTGGGTGATTCTTGAAAAAAGTGCCGAAATGGATTTTGTCAGTTGGTGAGTTATTGCGATCTCATCCACCACGAGAAACGGTGAATTTGGACAAGATTTACAGAGGAATTCAAATTGAAGATAAATATTTTACCCATGGAATGTGGAGGTTGTTGGAATTTGAAGAATATGTAGAGGAGAAGGGAATTGATGTACTGCATGAGTAGTACAGAAACCCAAAAATATGTTTTTGCAGTACAAAATAATCGAAATCCCAACAATAGAGGTCTGAAATAAATGTTGTGATTCTTATGTAACAGGTGGTCGGTTTAGATGAGAATGCTACTCAATTCTCATTTTTCAACTCTTTTATTTGTCTCTATTTGGAAAAAAATTCACTACTTTATTAGCCAATAAAAGTGCAAACGCTATTTATCGATATCGTTGGATTCAAATAAAATAATATCAATTTATTAAATATATTAAAATTAATAATCACAAAATAACTTATTCGGTCATTATTATAGATTTAATCGATTACTGCAATTGATAAGTTTGAGTATGGTTGTGGTTGCATATTATGTTTTATTATTATTATTTAAAATAAGGGAAATTAAATTGACTAACTACTAAATTGACGTTACGCTGCATCCGCCATGGTTGACCATTTGTTCATTATGCAGTACATTAAATAAAGTATACATGTTAGAAACGATATTGGAGAATGATGTAATGAAAAAAAAATTTCCTTAAAAGTGGAATTTTTTACTATAGTTGTAGCACGATTTTTATGAACTTTTAAAAAGAGTCCACATGTAGTTTTCTGTCTTTATCAATGATCAATTTTATGATTAATTTACGAAGAATATATTGTCAATCAACGAATTATCATTTCATATTGTGAAAAAAAGTCTCTTACTTTATATCCCCCACCCACCCCACTACCTCACAAAATAAAAAAAAACTAAATGCTCCTCTAGTCAATATTACTAAAATAATTATCAAGGTTTTTTTCATAATTTAAAATAAATAAAATTTTAAAGTTCAAGAAAATTATTGGGACTTTTTTTTCATTTTATTTTCTTTTTAATAGGTTTTCTTAACTACTTAACATTTTTTTAAGAAAATAGTTTAGACATTAATTCCTCCGTCGATTTTTATTTGTCATATTTCGCTTTTCGAAAGTCAATTTGACTATTTTCCAAAGTTAAAAAAATTACATTAATTTCATATTTTAAACAAAAAAAATAAATATTTAAAAACTATATAAAAAGTACTATAAATTGCAAATTTTTTTGCATATCAATATGATATAAAACATATCTTATATAATTAATCAAAATTCTTATAATTTGATTTTAAAAATAGAAATCACGACAAATAATAGTAGAAAAAAGAATATCAAAAAGTAATAATGGAAAGTAACCTTTTATTTATATATGTTGTTAATTTTTTCTTTGAAATTTCTGTTAAACCTCAAAAATTAACTATGGATGAGAAATAGTAGTACTGTACTACCAGCCATGCAACAACCAACTAATATTAATAAAGATTATGAACAAATTAATGAATGATTGAAAAAATTAATGTCAAGATATTTTATGAAATACATCAATTTTCACTGATCAATCAAATGTGTTATCACATGGCGTGAGGAGGAAGATTTTATTTTCTACTTCGACATAAATGGATGAATATAATCAAATAAGCATACAAAAAAGAACACAAATTATAAACTCAATGCTCTAAATACTAAAACAGAGAAATACTCTCTCTATTCCTATTTACTTGTTCATATTCTACAAGACGTATACCTATTAAAAAAATATAATAAATTTATCGTTTTAGTCTTGATAAAATTTCAAAACTATATTTTACTCATTAAAGAGATGTATAAACATAAGGTAACTTTGAACTTTCATCATTCATTAGAAATGTAAGAAGAAGAAAAGTCTCATCTCTAATTAACTATTATCAAAAATTAATACAATATGTTAAACATAAAACAGCAAAATGAATTAAAGAAAAAAGATTAGTGGGAATAAGTGTACCTTAGTTTGGATTCAAAAAGCTTCTTCCAAGTATTTTATAAGAACTTGTCTTCTCAATTTGAGTGAAAAGGATATCTAAAGGACAAATTTTCTTCTTTTATTTTTGCTATTTAAGTGAGAGTATACTACTTTCACATGAAAGAGAAAATACATTGCAATAATTAAGGCAAACCATTAGTATCGTTAATATAATATGTCATCATTATGTAAATAGTAGAGTGTACATAGCAAGTAGGAACAAACAGTTAGTACATTATAGTGAAGAAATGTGTCATAATGTGAACATGCATGGAGGATGACTTGTGTTAAGTTTATCCTAATTACTCGTTCAATTTTTTCTTTTTACTAGTTCATTTTGATAAATTAAAAAAATAAAAATTTTATTATATTATTTAATAAATATAATAATTTAAAAATAAACAAATAATTAAAAACTGAGAAAGTAGTCAATGGGAAGGGAATCTATTGAAGCTTTTGTAGTAGTGAGAGATCCACGTATTAGAAACAGTAAAACTATTTAGATTTTTTTGAAAAAAATTACCGCAGGACTTCCCTTTTTAGTCTAATAATTAAATTACCTTAGGTTTAGAATTATTTGAATTTTAAATTATGCATATCTTTTTCAATTATAAAGAGCAAATTAAGCAAAAATTTCAAAAGAGCAATAAAATATAAGATTCAAATCAAAAGGTCAATATTTGAAGTTTTGAACAGAAGAGGATAGTGTGAAATTTTTAATTGAAAAGTGCAGCCAAATTGCATTACAAATTAGAAGAAAAACATTAAGTGTTAAGTTGCTTGTACAATAGAAGGCAGTGGTTCATCCTAAATGAATTATAGAAAAATAGTGTTGCATCTGTGCTCTTTGTGCATCTTTTTTTGTTTTGTTTTTTACTTATTTGATGTTTATGTTTTCTTATTTTGTATTCAATTATGGAATATTATTTTCGACCGCTAGAACGAAACCCATTCTTACCACAAGCTTTTAATATTATGGCCGTGATCTGTCATTACGTGTGACTATCTCCACTATAGAAAGAAAAAAGAAAAATATAGTAAAGTAACTACTAAAACCAAATAGGTCAATAAAATTCTCCCAGTGACTGACGACTCGTGAGTTTGCAGGGCTCATAGGATGGAGAAAATCCCTCTCTTCATTCAATTATTTCATTGACGAGTTTTCACGATGTAAGTCAGTTGAAAATGAAGAAAAATTATTATATGAATGTTAATCAGGGTGGGTCGAGGCGAATTAAAAATTTTATGGGATAAATTATGCATATAAATTGAGAGTTTGAATTATGAAGTGGCAAGTTAATAAAGCAGTTATTCTGCGAGTCAAATTGATTCTTGTGAGAAATAAACCCTAAAAAATTGAAACACTTAGATGGATGCGAAACTTTGCTTGTTTGAAACGCCATTGTAGTGAGAAGAAAGATGAAGAGACGTTCATCGGAGACGAAGTTGTTGAAAGAATTGTTACTCTATGCGGCCAGCGCCGCTTTGAGCAGCCTTGTTTTGTTTGTGGGGCTCCGACAACTTGACCCGAATCGACAAGCTTCCAAAAAGGCTCTTGAGAACAAGAAGGAACTTGCGAAGCGCCTTGGTAGACCTATCATTCAAACCAATTCCTATGAGGTTACTCTCCAATCTCCTCTCTGTACTTCCCCCTTTTCAATTTCCATGTTTTTATCATATAGTTAGAGTCGCTTAGTTTCGATCATCCATTATTAACCAGATGTATGGAGTTGAGTCCACTTGGTTAGGGTGCATATCCGTATTTAGTCGGGGCCAATACTTTTTTTCTTTGCTTTAGATTTCCATTACTGATCACTATGGTCTACTGTGCAGTACTGTTTAGAATGGAACAAGCATGCTAGATAGCTGAAATTGTAAATGGATAAGAAGATAGTTTGTGTTTTTGGGTCTTGGGTGGGTGGGGGAAGGGAGTTGGGTCTTGGGTGCATATCCGTATGACCAGCTCTAGTTCTCTCAATAGATATTACCCATATTTGAGGGGCATCAGGTGATACATGACAAGAGATACTTCAGAAGTTGTTCTAGCATGCCGGAACAGAGAAGGGAATATGTCAGGCCATAAAGGGAGATGGAAGATTGTCTCTACCTTCATTTGGTGGGTGGATATGGAAGGAAAGGAATCAGAGATGCTTTGAAAACAAGAGCATCCCTTTCTGGATTTTGACAATGAACTCCTTAGTGACCTTTTATTTTGGTGTATCCATGTTCTCCCCAAAGAGGTGGAGGATATTGCCCATATTTTAGACAGTTTAGGAGGGGTGTAAGTGATAGATCTTTTCTTTTTTTGTTTGTTCTCTCTATACTACTGATGTAATTACTACTGAAATTGCAGCAGTAGGATAAATAAAGTGTTAATAGAAAAGTTTGAGTCTCTATGGCAAAATATGCTACTATTAATTAGTATTAAATTGATTAGACCATCCTTTATTTAGCGAAAAATCTGTTGGTCGAGCAATAATCATGCCATTTTGCTTGTCAAACAGACAGACTGTGTTTAGTATGGAGGATAGTGTTTCCAATCATTTTAAAGTATTTGGCCGACTTGTACCCAAAGTAAACGTTTTTTCTCAAAATGGGAAGACTTTCCTCACTGTTGGGAAAAAGTTCCTTTACTTTAGAATTATCGCAAGTCTTTACTTTTTTTCACTTGCTTCCTTTCAAAAAATCACTTGTTTGAACCAACAATTAGACACTGTTTCAGATTTTACTAAAACACTATCGGTTTCTCATATCCTCAATCTCGTACGGTTCCCATATCTATATATTCAACCAAACACGGAAAGTTGATAGAAATTAATTTCCAAAACCTTCCATGGAAAACATTTCCGTACATACCAAATGCACCCGAACCCAAAGTTCCTAAAACTTGCACTGCTTATTTCATCCTGTGTCACTCAGTTTGATTTACATGATGATCATATATTTCATTTTAATTTATATTTCTTGATGAGCTGGGATCAAATTTGTGTTCTGGTTGATTGTGATCACTTCCCTACTAGTCTACGAGAGCTTTTTTCCCTTAAAATATTTTGGTTCACAAGGATGTTATGATAACCAACTATAACGACATTCTTTATTAATTTGGTATGCTATCTTTCCTTATTGGTATGCTTAACGTGCAGTCAAAAGCAATCATTTTCATATTGAATTATTTAAGCCCCCTTGTGCTTTGTC